GAGCAGGGAACAACTACTGTCTGAAACTTCTGATGCGCTCCGTTTTCAAACGTGCGCCTCAAAAATCATATGCAAGTACATATGTCTACTCAACCGTATGGTTTCCGTGAGTTTTTCCGTGGAAATCGTCCTTTTGTGTATCAGATCTTCAATTGGTCGGAGCTTATGTTGAAATGATGAACAGATACCTTTCGTGTTACCTCACTTCCGGACGCTGATAAACCTCCAGAGACGCATCTTACATGAACGATTGGTGGTGGTGATCCAATCGATAAAAGAGGCTTCGGCCCTGCTACTGAGTACAATACCTACCTCGTGCTGACCTAATGAACGGGCTTCATCGTCGCTGGATGTGTGAAGGACATTCCTTGAGGACAAACCTGGCGCACTTAAGCGGCTTGTAGTAGTGGGATCCTGAATTCGAGAACCGATACGCAGCAAATATCGATCCCTATGGATTCTATTATACCCACCTGCTCCAGAGTCCTGACTTAGAAGACCCTCAGATCCAGTGATTGAAGAGGCTTCAGAATCTGCAATCTAGTTCATGGTAAATTACTTGCAGTGCTATTTAGCAGCGGTCTTTGGCGAGCGAAAACCAAGTTTTTTACAGGTGGGAAGAAAGGGCAAAGGGGAAGACTGGGTACGAAATTCAAGGAATTAACAAAGATTGGGATGTCTAACCAGTAGCCTATTCATCACTATTCACCCCGCTCTACGCAATAATCATCACGGTTTTAATTATCCCGCTCGACGACCGATGCTGTATGGTACTTTTAGTTTGTGCACGCACCACTAAAATTGGCGGCTCAGTTGATAAAAACTGATGGTGGAATAACTAATCCAACTAAATAAGACTCTAATCCGGCTTAACCGCTGCCTTGCGGCTATTTTTGTCAGAACTGAAGGTTTTGGTTGAGGACCTTGATCGTTCTGCTTATTGGCTGGGCACTGTCAGTACTCTTCCATCAAACACCGGTGGCTCTGACTTTGGAGCTAGGCAGAAAAATGTGAAGTTCACTTCACTGTATTGCGCTGTACTACGATGATGATGATGCATTAAAATTAAAAGATACTGCAGACAAAATCCCTTTTAGAGTTTTGTACTATTTGATATTTTATATCAGTCTAATTTACGGCAGAAGAAATAAAATTCGCAGTCACGAAGATCCACCGTTCAGCCTCAGCCATGAACTTGAAGTTTAGTTGATTGAGTGTAGTTTACACTGAATGCTACTTGAAACGTTCTCTTTTGTCGATAGTTCCTCGTTAACTGTTAGTGGGTTTCGATTTAACGTATTTCTCTGTATGATAATATTTCTAATGATAATAATGATGCTGACTCCGGATTTGTTTTCATCTTTTTCAGTATACCTAGCGAAAATAAGATGTTCGTGTCCTATGTCCGAATGAAAGCTACATCTGGGTAAAAGCTTGGTTTACGGATGACATATTGTGAACGTACTGCTCGCAGTTAGCAGGTTACTCACCTTCATACTTGATATGGTTAAGTCTCCAATGCAACGTGGTTTGGATACCTTCTACTTACTTAGACACGATTGATTGAACATAATCCTCAAAAGAGTTTCTCTTCATCGGCGAAAGTTTCTTTAACGCACGCGGAAGTCACATAATTCCGTTCTAAATCCACAAGATGATTGCACAACGTGTGACGTTTATTGAGAGCTAGACGCTGAATGGTCGCACTGGTAAATCTTAGTTCCTTCAAGTCAGTTAAATGGAGCTATCTGTTGTAAATGATCGGTGTTGAATTAGATTTATCAAGAAGTTGATTGTTAGGACGGACGTGTGGCTGCTATTTTGGTGATTCACTATTGATGGAGTGGTGGTGGCGAAGTGGTTTACTCACTGTCATCGGTGTGCTGGGGACTCTACGGTTCGAGGTTCCAACTCCGCCATCGCCACCCAACTTTGGTGATAGGCAGTCTTGCTGTCTTCCGGTTCAATACCACGCCTGACCTAGCGTGGCCCTATATGGTTCCCTACTCCAAGTCCCGGGACTTAGGTCACCGGTTTCCATCACTAAAAAGCAGGTCTTCGTGACTTTGGGGTCCACCCATCACACATGTAATAAAATGCAAGTTCTTTGATCAAATAGTTTACCACCGTACTGTTCGTTCTCCATGGCCGAGTTGACGGACAAACGTCTAACCTTGTACATTGGCCCCCAAATTATGTGATCATCCTCTTTAATCTCTCCGAATTTCCTCATTTAGGTTCTCGATGATATGTCCGNCGATGATATGTCCGACTCGTTATGCCGCGTGGCCGATTTGGCTGATTGCATCCGAATGCTTCATCCGAACGAGTCCTATCGAATCGCCGCGGCTGAAGCGTGTCAGGCGATCGGTTTACTTGTGGAAGAGTTGAACACCTATCCGGAACTTTACAATGCATCGGTTCGCTCAGCCGGACTAAATCGTGATCGAACACAATCCAATCCAGACTTCGATATGGATCAAATTGATAAGCGAGTTCTCAATCTGTTCATTGCGGATTTCGAACTGTCCGGTGTGCAGCTTCAAGATCCACGTAAACAGTCTGAATTCGTTAACGCGGCCACTGCTTCATTAACCATCGGTGCGGAATTTGTTGAGGTAAGCCCAGATATGGAATGATTGCCAGTTTAACGTATTTCCTCACATTTCGGTGATTCCGATTGACTTTCATCTGTTTTTGATTTCTAACGGATATGTGAATTTTTTATAGGCTTGTCAACATTTATGGTAAAGTTGATTTCGTATGTACCACTCATTTTCTCCTGTAAAATTTCTGTCTGTAAATTCCTCATACTAAGCTTGAAAAAGTGAATGTAAAGTCCTCGCGATTCCTTATTTTCGTGTGCTCGAGTTCACCGATACTGTATGACGCTGTAAAGCACAGTAGCTAGTGACTGGAGTCGTAGATTCTAATTGCTTTGGTTTATATTGCATTTCTTCACTTTATCAACGACGATTCATTCTGGTCGAATCCACACCCCTATTGACATCGTACATTGTTCTCTTTCCTGTAACAAATTCTAGACTTCCCCCTACCGTGAGGGATGTCGCTGCTTGGGGTACTAAAATTAGGTAAATTCCAATGTCTGACAAACCTTTTACGTTTGCGTTGCGCAAACCTAATCCCTGTGTTTCCAATCTGCACATAGGCTCTTATCCATTTTCTTCCACCCCTGCTGTTTGACTTTGTTTCCCATTTTTTCCTGCGATATATCGATCTCCAGTTTACTTCTTATCTAAGAAAATTTCTCACGTTTTCCTCGCTAAGTGCTTTTCTAACCCATTTGCAATTTATTGATTTGATCGACTATCCTTCGGACTTCACCTTCACGCACAATTCTCAGGTCATTAATTCAACCATGCACTCGGATAGTTCAAATGTACATATATATATATATATATATATATGTGTGTGTGTGTGTGTGTGTGTGTGTGTGTGTGTGTGTGTTGTCACTTTTGCAGGCACAAAAATTGCTTTTATTTCCAACTCCTCAGCTGAACTTCAGGTAGTTCTCGGTATTCAGCGGGTGTGTTGAGATTTGTTTCACACTCCTGACTTGTATTAAGAAACTGTGTACCAGCGCACCCGTATTTTATGTCTTTTGGTTCAAAAACAGTTTTTGGCTACATGGTCATCGGGAAAATATTATTTTATTCGTCAGTGTTGAAACTACCAGTTGTGCAATAAATTGACTCTAGCTATCGGTTCAAAATTTCTTTATTTTCTCGTTGGATTTCTCTCGCGTTTAATTTTTGTACCTACTCTTCTGACTAAACACCCCCACCCCGGAACAGGCGTGTCACGCCCCGGCAACCTTACGTCCTGGGGATCTGGTCGCAGCAGGTGCTGTGGGTGTTCCTCAGTTCGACGCAATACAAGTCTATCATCCGATTTCAGACGATCCTCGCTCTGCAGTTCGGGCCGCTTCTTATCGTGTTTACTATGCACCAATACCGGGACAGGAAGACCGTCTCATCAATCTAATGCAGATGCGTCATCGAATGGCCGAGTTAGTCTTCAAATTCTTTCGTTGTCTTCTTTTCTGATCATCTAAAACAGTTTTCTTTTCTGTGTCCACCCGCCCCGTACCAGATGACTAAACGCTATGGTCAGAACTATCTACAGTGCAGTAAGTATCAAAGTAACTTGTATCCGCGGTATGGAACAGAGTAACCGTACATAGTTCTAAGAAAGATATAAAATTAACGCGGTGCCGTAGATCACAGTTGGGCATGCGCAATACATGTCATAACTAGCGAAGCACTATTTCCCGTCTAATTAGCAGTACGGGCCCAATGGAAGTAGGCGTAATTGAGATAATTAAGGAGCCTGATGGCACACCGAGTCATCATGGACTGAACATTTCGAGGCTCAGTTCAGCTAGCCCTCCATCGACATTAGACCTATCATCCTCGACTGAGCTAATACTCCCAATTGATACCAGTCCTCCATCTAGAAGGTAGTTTTCCTGGGAACTATCTCAAAAGGTATAAGGACCCCGGCCCAGATGGGCTGTTCTCATCGGCTTTTAAAGATGGCGGTTCAGCGTTACCTTTGGAGTTGATGAAACTGCGAGAGGAAATAGATTTTAACTGAATAGTGCTAATCGGTTATCATGACGATTTACATGAAAGGCGACAGATCATCGTGTGAACACCACACGGAAATTAGTTTGATCAACATTGTCTCTAAACCTCCCGCTGAGATCATATTCTGTCGATTGCCTGCTGCACGCGAAAAGGGCGCGCATGAGAATCAGGATGGCTTTCAACTTGGTTGAGGTTGTAAAGACCACTTCTTTACTCTTTACCAAATTCTGAAGCACCGACATTATTTTCATAGATCCACCATCTCTGTCTTCCTCGATTTAAAACCGGCTGTCGATTCAGTGGACCACTCCAAACTCCCGCGCTGTCTTTCCCTGAAGGGTGTGCCCGAGAAGTTTGTTCGGGAGGTAACTCACCCAGTATTGCATTATCACTTTTCACTTTGAGGGTACAGGCGTATACCGAACGGGGTGAAAAAAAGGTGTTAGCTTGTTAGGAGTGCTTTGAGCACTCTAAAAACACACAATGTCATTAGAGTACCGCCAATAGTATAGCTTTCCTCCACCTCAATGCCAACATTTGATAGGCCGCCGAAGGTGTTCTCCAGGACCTCCTTTATAACGAACTTGAGCAGTGCTGGCGTAATAATGCACCATGTACGAACTCAGCTGCTGATTTCGAACGCACTGCTTAGCTCGTTGCAGACTCTTTCTTGATAAGAAGTGTGTCTGTATAATGGATTGACATAATTCTGGGGTATTCCTCTGCGCAAAAAGAACCAATTAGGACTTTATATGCAACTAAGGAGAACGCTCCCTTTCAGCTCAAAGACCATTGCGCTGATTGATCGACAGTACGACGGTCGGCGACGTGGGACCTGTTCGTATAAAATGCTGCCTTCCGAGGTATACAAAGAGCTAACTGATAGCCTAGTAAAAGATGGCAGTACAAAGTAAGCAGTGACGTGTGCAACGGTGTATCCCATTTGCTTGTACCTAATTTACTCAGTAAAAGCCATACTTGTTCTACTATTCCAGTCGTTACTTGGACTTTCAACAGTAATCAATCAGTCATACCTTCGTGAAAACTAGAATCTGGAGATCGAATAATACACTTTGCTGCAAAGATTCATCTTGGTACTGTATTCCCAAATGGTCGTCTTACTTTAACGTTTCTCGCCCAGATGTCGATTCCACTGGCAGTGAAATAAGGCACTGCTAGAGGCGTGTAGGAATTTATTTATTGTGTTTGAGCATGCTTATTTATAGGGACACGGGAGGACATGGAAGTGATTATGCACAACGATTGGTTGAGTGGATCATTTCCAACAGTCCTGATTGGTTGTGGAATACGACCAATTATTTGTTTCGATTAGTTACCCCAGAACACGGCAGGTCTCAACCCAGTTTTTGCAACCATGGACCGTACTCCTTTATGCGGTTGTTTTGTTTGCTGTTTATAAAAGAGCAGAAGAAAGATTGGAATGTTGAAGGCGCAGTGAAAGAAAAAACAAGGAATTCACATAGACTGAGTTTGCAAGGACAATGAATAGTCGCACAAGCGCCACTGTTTGCGATACTCAGCCGGGGAGTATGCGGACACTCTGATAACATGAGCTTAAATGGAAAACATTGATCCTGATGTAAATGAGATGAGGAAACATGAGACTATCAAAATCACATCACAGATGGTTACAGTCTAACTACCTCCTCCAAGTTCATCCATTTGCCGTATCATTGACTTTTAGGACTTATTCTGTGTCTGACTCTGAGGGCGATAGTGTATTAGACGTCCTTACTTAGTTCTTTCATTTGTTCCATTTTGTTGCAATATTCAGCCAGTCGCGTAGATCTATTGATCCGCAATATTCGTAAAACTCACTGTCGAGCTCTTTCTGAAGGTATTAAACAGATCGCTTCAATGCCAGCAATCTTTCTCTCTCTGTGTGTGTGTGTGTTTGTGTGCGCGTGCGTTTCAGGTCTGCTGGATTCGCCAGTTTCGCCGATCGTGCCACGCTACATAGTTTGGCTGAAACTTCTGATCGCGTCGGATTGTTCCTCAACCAGTTGACAAATCTTTTATCCCCACTAGCTCGCCAGACTGCACAAGAACAACTAATTCCGTTCTCCGATATTCCTGATCACGATGAATGCAAATCGGCAGGAGAAACACGTTCTGTACATTTATCTCCTTGGGATGTACCATATTTGATTGCGCTTAGACGGTCATCTATTCACCATGAAGTAAGTTCATTCTTCGACCGAGTGACCTCAGTTGGAGCATTCTCTTCTGTTACCGTTTGTATCACATAGTTGGTTCCTTACAGGTATGGCTTAGTTGTTTAAGAATTAGACCAATATTATGAATTCGTCGTGTAAATGAAGTGTGAGCTGAAAAGTTAGAAAGCACTGGACAGCCGTTTCGACCTGGTCGGGTCTCATCAACAGGGCGAATCCATCGACCCAACTGGGTTGTGCTATATCGCGTATATCCAAAAGGAGAAATGATCTGATCAGCTGCCCTGTGAACTAGTGCGTTCTACCTGTGAGGTCCCGGTTTTGATCCCCAGTTGGGTCGATGGATTCGCACTGCTAATGAGACCCAACCAGGTCGAAACAGCTGTCCGGTGCTTACCAGCTTTTCAGCTCACACCTCATTTACACGACGAATTCATGACATAAACAAATGGAATCCTCCATTACTCTCATACAATCAGACTAATCCTTGGAGAAGAAACAACCGTAAGGGGTTCTGGGAATATCACTTTGTAATTCACCCCGAAGGTTCATCATGGATTAATCCATGAAACCGACTTATCCTTACTTAACCGAATGTCGCTCAATGGTGAATGAAAACGCTTAAAGAACGGTATATTGTCAAAGCGTTTTCATCGATTTGTGGATGACTTTTATGGGCGCAAACCAACACTACTGTGTTTTGTCTTGTAAAAATGAAAAATGATCGTACCATTAGAGGATTAATCTCATTGTGGTTTGCACAAGTCGCTCAAGTGTCTTGACCAACCACAATGGGTTCACTTTCATAGCAGATGTCTTAAATTGCCTCTTTATTCACGTGAGGTTTACTCAGCCATTCCAATGCCTTCTTGGATTTCGAATAGACTGTCGTCACGTGGTCAGTGCATTGGTTTGTTGTTTCCCGATCCAGACCAACTGCATTTTGAATTTGTCGTTTGCTCATCCGTCAAGGACCGTTTTTATGCTGCTACGATTTGACTGACTTTATTACAGAAACGTAAAATTACACTCAGACTATTCACTAAACCTATTGCTTTTTAAGCAACTTCTATTAAACACTAGTGTCTTGGTCTAGTAAGACAACCGTATCAGGAACACGGGGACTAGGCTTACGGTTTGAGTTTGCCGAGGCTAGCCTCGCACGGGTCCGTTCACTGGGCAGGTATTACACATGCCTCCTTAAAGGGTAGGTTTCCTATTCGTTATATATTTGCCAAGGTGGATAGTGGTTGAAATCCAATCAGTGACTGACCATTCCTGACTTCACTATAATATTCAAAAATCTTAGTTAATGAGTGTCATCGTTCACGGGATCCGCTCTGTCCATGGTTTAATACACTAAAGGATATAATTGCGCCTTAGGAGTCGGTTTCACTATTCTCATCTAATTTGTTTCTCCTCATTCTCATAGTATGCTCCGACCTTTGGGTTCATGTGCCGTCTTCTCAAAGGACTCATTACTGCTGTTATAGTTCCACAAGGCGCTGCCCGGTCGAGGAAATTTGTTTATTGCAGATTGCAGCTGGAATATCACTAATTTGGCATACATATAACAGAAATCGCATTTGAAACATGTCATCGCAATTCCCGGCGGCACACCGGGTACTGACTGGGGGCAGTTCCTAGTTATTCTTTGGGACACAGCAATGCGCCCTCGATGGTCTTATTGATTTTTGATTGTTGAAGGAAACCGCCAACAGCACTACTTTGCATACTACTATGAGTAGTGCCTCACAACACTACCAAAATGATCTAGAATAATGATTAGTCAAACCTGTATTCAGTGAAACACAATGCTTAACATGTGGAGTATTCTCCATGAACCCCTTAATATGTGTCTGATCTGCCTGAATTGCAATCTGATTGTGTTTTTCGTCACCAACCAATAAACGTGCACTTTCATCCGGCGGTTTTGATTGCTGTCTTTTAGCCGCCCATTTGGATGAAGGAGTAGAGGAAAAGATGTATGCGTTTATTTCACACGTGTCTGATTCCAAACGGTACCGAACAAATCACAGTGCAATGTTGAAAACATGTCAAGGGGGATGGGCATTAATGTAGCCCAAGTTTAGCACTGTTTACGACGCTCAACCCTATCGCTCACACGTCTACAAAAATGCAGGCGGCAAGTAACATAGTTATCCGTTTTCCGGGAAACAACTGAGGAACACGGTGCATCTTCTAAAATGTTTTAGATTAATTACTTCATGCTAAACCGGTCATCTGTATCATTCAATCCCCCTGGTCACAGGAATTGGCTGACTATTTTTCACTTGGTGCCTGTATGGAAGGTGTTAGCCAGCTCGCCGATTGTCTGTTCGGCTTGCAACTTCGCGCGGAACCCACTCTACCGGGTGAAGTGTGGCATCCCAGTGTGACCAAAGTGGTTGTTTACGCCAAATCCAGATCGCACGGATCAGCTAAATCTGACAAACCGGTGGGAATTGTTTACTGCGATCTCTTGGATCGTCCGGGGAAACTTGCCCAAGTGAGTTATTTCTGTTTCTTTGCTGCTTCTTCTGTTTCTGTGACCCTACGGGAGATGCGATACCGTACGCCCAGTGCAACTCGTAATCCCACAGATATGCTCTCCCGTTCTTATCTAGTCTAAGTAATCTCATCTCTCAACAACGGCTACACGCCGAAATGAAAGTACAAATGGTGGAACATGACGTTGGTGGTACTGATTGTTTCTAATTTTTGCGGTCGATGTAAAAACGAGAGCCCTACTTTTCCAGAACAAATCATGCACAACTCCAAAGGTACAGCCAGAGGACTTGATATTCATGAGCGATATGCAATATAGCGAACTAAGCGCACGCGCAACAGTTGTCCTCCGTTTACCGAGAACGGGAGATAAGCAATCACTTTTTATCAGCATCGCATCATTTCGAAATAAATGCGGAAGAGCATCCACCGATTTCTCAGAGTACTGCATGTATACCATTTTAACGTGGATTTCAGAAACTATCAGTTTGATTTGTGAAACCGTCTTTCTGAATTAAGAAACCATTGCTTTGAAATGGGAAACTTTCACCTTGAATTAAGAAAGAAACGTTGCGGTCGAATCCGCTTCCGTTCAGCGCACCTCATTGGTCAATTGATCACACACGTTTTCTACCCTCGGATTGAATACGTCTTCTCACGCTCTTTTTGTGTTGAAATGAGGCAGACCTCAGTATGCTGCTGTCGTTGGCCCTGTGTAAAAGTATTGCTGCATACACAAAGTACAAAACATTACAGAGGAATTTTTTACAAGCTTGCGGTTAGGAATCAGACTGCTCTAATGCATTCTATCGAGAATCGTTGATGATTAGTGAACTTTGAGAGGATGCAGTATACCCGCTGCCATCAGAATCGTTTCATATCATTCACTGTAACTGAAATACAAAAGTGAATAAGTCAAAAAATTAAATAAACAATCACAAAATCAATCTTTGGTTGCCCTGAAAAAGGCAGTTTTACGTTCTCTGTTTGAACAAATCTCAGTGGTCTTCCATGTCCTCATCGTCAAGAGGAGGCATGTAAAATGTCTGCGAATGTCGCACGAACCTAACGCAATGAGAATCGAGAGTCGACGACGTCGCTTTTGCAACTGACTGCTCCAATAACTGCATTCGCCAATCAGCTTAACTGTTTATCCCTTCAGGATCCCTTCGAAGGAGGCTCGGATAAGTATCACTCAAATCCCGCTTGTCTTTGCTTTTAATCAAGCTCCACATATGCTCAATTGGATTGAGCATTGGCAAGTATGATGGCACTCTCAGTAGCTTTACCTCACGATACTTACTGTCAGTGAATACCTCCTCCAGTATGTTGTGGCAGGGAGCATTGTCGCGAACGACAGTGATCTGCTTAATCAGTACTGTTTAACGGAGCTGATCAAGCACTGATCGCGTCCCACCGATATGCTCCTCGTTTGGTCTTGCACGATACCATTCCCAACACAGTCATGGCACGGTTTAGATGCAAGTTTCTCCCGCGACTGTTGTTAGACCAACCCATTGTCCTGGTGCAAAAGAGGTTGAAGTTTGTTTCACCAATCCGACAAATACAACCTCCTTCTTGGTCTGCTTCAAAATCTGAAGAGCATACCGCTGGCGAATCACCTTTGTCTCTGGATTATTCATTCCAGGTGGAATGAGATGAAGCTTCTTGATTGTAGTTAGCCGGCAATCTAAACAACTTCCAACTGTTGTGCGTGACACCTTCTAAAACTCCGCTTTAATTCGGATCCTTAACAACCCCAATGTGATTGTGAGGTCTTCTTCCAACCAGGTGATCATTTCGTCGATCTCCTTATCATTTAAAGTATTTCTCTTTCCTCCGCCTTTCGGTTGACATTCGTATGACAGTTGCTTAGCATTAACCCATTTGTAAGCGGTTTTATAGTTCACTCCATTGTGTCTCGCAACAACACGCCAATCCTGTCCCTCTTCGAAAGCCTGAACAATTCGCTTGCACACACCGTTGTCAACACAGTTGTACCGGCCTCGGAACATAATGAAAAATTAAATGGAAGTGGATAAGAAAAATTATTTTATACCGCACCCGCATAGGTCTCTTCTTATCATAAGTTTTAGTTTAGTCTTCGTCAATGTCGAAGCGAATACGTTGATCGAGCATGACCCATGATTCACGTGACCAACTGTGGCCCAGCTCAAGCGCACACGAAACAGTGCGTCACTCTTTGTGCTTATCGAGTGGGGTCCAGATTAGCGTAAATCAGACGGCTTCACCGATTTGACGTCCGTCAGCGAGCTCGACAAGATGCACGACTGAGGTCTGCCTCATTTCAACACAAAAAGAGCGTGAGAAGACGTATTCAATTCGAGGGTAGAAAAAGTGTGTGATCAATTGACCAATGAGGTGCGCTGAAAGGAAGCGGATTCGACCGCAACGTTTCTTTCTTAATTCAAAGTGAGTTTCTCAGTTCAAAGTGACGGTTTCTTAATTTAGAAGAAAACAATTTGACAAATCAAAATGAAAGTCTAAATGTATCCGAAAATGGTATTGAAAAGTGGTGTTTTGGATATCGAAATCTTTGCGAAACAAAGTCCTGCGATCGTAGGTTGGTGAAACCGTTAGATCGAATATAAACACTTTCTCTGCCAGTTTTTACTGGTAACTACAAAATAGTTGTCTGCGATGATTGTTTCGTTGTTCACCAGATTTCAGGTTAACCATGAGCTATATTACCGGGAATTGAGTTGGTAGTTAACTTTGTCTTTAACTTTCGTTGTTTCTTTAGTCGTAATACGAATGCATTGTTGTGTTGATACAGTAAATTGAACTCGATTTTTATTTACCATCAAATGCAGTTCTTCTAACCAGTGATGTGTCGCATGCCTATCGACTCTATTTGCCGTCAATGGATGACTACCCGAACTCCTGCACATGTCAAATCACACGATACCCTAGTAGCTTTATTGTTGAACCAATCCTTCCGTTTCACGAATTACAACGCATATATGTAGTTAACAGAATTCTTGTTTATTTGATTCGACTTCATCACACATCCTATCAGCATACAGCCTGTTGACTGAGGGAACTACGGGGAATACTACTCAAATGCTGAGTGGTTTAAAAATATCATGTGCATCAAGTAAGCAGATAAAAAGTCTACATCCGGAGGTATTACCGGGTTGGTGGACCACTGGTAGTTCACCTATGGGAGTTGTCCAAAAACCCTGATCCCAAACCAACCAAGAAAAGGTGTACGAACCACACATACCTTCCCAGTTGTGGCAGTGGTCACCGTCTAGATTGGGCATCGAAGTGTATTGGGCACCTTGGACATTTGACGCTGTCCAAAGGGCGTATGATCCGATGAACTGGACGCCGGTCTCCAATAGATTGCGGTTTTCGCACACTGCCCCGCTGCCTTGCGGCTTTGGCTAACCAAACTCTCCGGTTGTGGATTTCTCAAGAAACTTCGCCTGGTTTAGCCTGGGTAATCTGGCAGTATTCAGCCCACTTGCAAATCATGGAACGTCTTTCTTTTTCATAAAGATTATTGTACCATGATTTGTTTGGCATAGTCTGGCCTTAGATGTGATATATATATATATATATGTATATATATACAACTGTCGTTATGAATTCTACATGCATGTTTAGACAAACTGACGTACGTAAGTAGCATTCGCCCTGGGGGCAACTATCCAACTGAGACATAACTCGAAGAAATGCAGTGGGTGGATTGATGTGCGCGCTTCTATCTAACAATTTGCAGCTGACTAATCCAATAATCTCTTTTGAACATCGAAATGTGTGTATGTTTGATAGTCCTTTAGATTTATCGCCAAACAAAGTCATTTTATCTGCCCTCTATAAATCTTCAAAATTAGTACGCACTCAACGTGTTGTGTGTTTTCATTAAATCCACGGCTAGAGATAACTGTCGGTTCAGATTGATCATACTTCATACACTTGTCGTCCCGTAGGACGTGTGTGTCCAAACCGCACCATGACCACCACCTGACTTTCTCTATTCTACATGGGAATTCGTCGTGCATATAGCAAATGAAGCACTGTGCTTCCGAGCTTTTCAGTTCATGCTTCATTTGCTATACACACGACGAATTCCCATTTAAAATTTAACCAAATCCTCCATTACTCACATGAAATTTCTCCATTTCGTTGTATCATATGGTAGCTCTTTGAGTGCCCTCTTCATGAAAATAGTTTGTACTCATTTATTCGTTAACTAATGAGTTCGGTAATTTTTTCATGTGGAAAACACATGTAAGATATGCCTGTTATTCGGGTTTATGTTCGTTTTAGAGTGAATTTCCGCTGGTCTTCACGATTCTAAACCGACAAGTCTCCCCTTTGTCGAGTTTTGCATTTGGTCTTTCATCGGAGTCCTACGTTGTAATTGAGAACAAGCTGCACGCTGTCTGCCAATAATGATTTTTCACTACCAAGTCCAGTGACAATGTCAGTAAGGAAAATTGTCCCCGCCGTGAGCTTGGTGACTGGAGGTCAACTCTTGCACAGATCACGACAGTATTATAAGAGTCCATCGAGGTCACACTTCTCTTCATCTCTGATGGTCTCACTTTTTCAATTTAACTATTAGGTATTTTCTGTTGCTTATCTTAATCAGTGATTTATATTACTCTGCTTGACGCGTATGATGTTAGGACTGCCACTATACAATTCAAGGCGGGCGTCAACTTCCGGGTAATCAATACCAACCACCAATCATTACGCTCCAACTGAACTTGGCCCCTCCAACTGGAAGTGTTTCAGTTCCGTTACTATCATTGGGTCAAGTGGAGAATCTGTTTCACGAGTGGGGTCACGCTTTGCATTCCATGGTCGCTCGGACACGATATCAACATGTTACGGGAACACGGTAAGATTGTTTGCTGCCTTCCCCTTGATCTCATTTGAGTCAGTATAAAAAATAATTCCGCTCACAACTTATTCTTCTTTAATTGCATATTCGTTTGATAAACGATAGAGAAGGTGAAGCACAGT